CCCCCCCCAATCTTCCTAAGAGGTGAAAAGACGGACCGGGCAGAAGAAAATGAAGAGACTGTGTTTACATGAGATAGGGCACAAGGGACTTGGACAGGCAGCCAGATGGGCCTCTGAACAAGTTCCAGAAGTACTGTGCTGCAGAAAATTACCATCAATTCAAATAAATAATTATATAAGAGAACAGTACCCCATTATCAAACCTGATGATTTCAAAACTTACCCATGCTGTGTGCTCTTTGATGAAGCATCCTTTATACTCTATAGTGTTTTTATGCAACAACTGACGGAGAAATTTAACTTCCTTGATTATGTCTTGCCATTTCTGAGGAGAAACATAAAAAGCAATTAGGCTGGCAGGCTTACGAATCAAACAGCAAAAGACAGTCATCTACACTCACAAATAAAAACTAAACTCTGCAGAATCCGTCACTAGAAAGTTTTCCAACCACACACTCGTTCTTCTCAAAGATAACCTTTGTAACTCTGCAAGTCAAAAGACATGTCTTAAATATGAGTTCTCATAACTATCACCAGCAAGCAATTTCAACTAAACTCTTGTTATAAAAGAGTCCTACATAAAGAGAAATTGAGAACCAAATTAGATTCAAAAGTATGAGGGACTAAAGCCCAATCAAGATGAGAACCGGCTACAGAGTTTATGCCCACTTACAACCCATGAACAAATGGAGAGACACTTACAAGTGAATAACGCAAAACAAAACAAAAATGATTTGCCCAACGGACTTACATCAGTAGAACCCTTCCCATTGTAGGACATCTTTTTGATTGCCACAACTTCCTTCGTGACATTGTTGCGGGCCTGTGGTAGGGAGGGGAAAAAATCAGCATTATTGAAATGGTCAGGTACAAAGCAATTAAATAATCCTACCATAGATCCACTATACTCTAAATCCTAACACACAGATAATACATCACACTGGAATTTTAAGCTTTTAATTAGAATCAGTGACATCGGTTTAGAATCCCCAAGGTAAGAGATCAAGGGGAACGCTGCACGGAACCTGGAGAAATGTCACAGAGAATGATGGACAAAAAAGTGGGAGAACTGGAATAATGATATCCAGAGGCTAGTCAGGAAAGGAACAGGTGGTCAGTGTTTGTTCGTGGGCTATACCCTGGTGCACGGTGAGAAAGGCATTGATGATGATATTGATGATGATGATGGAGTGACATCAATGACTGGGAAGTCAAATATGATGATGGAGTGACATCAATGACTGGAAAGTCAAATATGATGATGGAGTCACATCAATGACTGGAAAGTCAAATAACATTCATTAACGGACACATATATATAAAACCTAATATCGTAGATAAAAAAGGAAAACAAATTTAGAACAAGAACCAAACATATAAAACAAACAATACTCACAAAGTATACAGCACCAAAACTTCCATGACCAATTTCTCTGAGATCAGAGAATATTTTATCCGGATCGTCGTTAGAAAAGAGTCCTGCGACTTCTGGGTCTTTGAGATTTCCAGGCTTAGGGAGTGACGGCATGACGCTCGTCACCTCTGAGAGTCGTCGGACCAATGCCAGTCTCTCTGGGAATGGACTGGCCCTTCTTGATCCTCATTCGAGCAAATCTCATGTGGTAGGAAACATCAAGTCTGTCAGGAGGGAGAGGAGAGGAAAGAGAGTGGGATATTTAATAAAGTGAAAAATTATTGTCCATTCAATCACATGTAAAAAAAGTTGTGCATGAACAATTGTCTCAGATTTGTATTACACCCATTTATTACAATTGTATGCTGTTATTGACTATTTGCGTGCATCTGTGTGTGTTTGTTTGCTTTAGTAGAGGTATTACGACACTCACAACTGCATATAAGTATAAGGTCATATGAGCGCCAGAAGATTAGAGGTGTTACAAGAGAGTAACAAACATAAAAAAAGAAGGAGAGATAAGGACAAAAGATGTTTCATAGGAAAGAAGGACCTGAGCAAACCACACCAGACCACCCGCCAATCGCCCACTCTGTGAGTTGTGTGTGTGTGTGGGGGGGTGGATGTATTTGTATGTTTTTGCCTGTGTGTGTGTGTGTGTGTATAAAAGTGTGTTGACGAGGGCATGTGTGTATGTACTATGCTGCAACTAAATTTTTGTAAGTGGAAATCAATACCTTTTTATCTTAGCTATCTTATCTTTTGTTGAATACTTCAGTATAAATTATACTTGACATGTTCTAAACACAAAACTGAAATCTAGTGGCAACTTTAACATTATCTGTTATACAGCTAAAAAATGTAGCACCTTGATCCAAGCGAGGGTGCAAGCATTTCATATATGGTAAAGTCTCTTTTTATGTGCACAAGAGTGCTCAAATCAGACAGCCTTGGAGTGAAACCCAACCAACACACTTCAAAAACCTTTACATTTTTAGAGGAACGGACAGAAAGAAGAAAACATCTATACAGAATAAATTTAATCGATAATATTGTCCTTTTATTTTCATGCATCACATGTACAACAAATCTCACAAAACAGCCACTGTAAGGAACAGTGAGTGACCGAGACAAAATATTATCTCAACTTAAAAAAAAAAAAGAACAACAAGATGCAAATGATAAAAGTGCAAACTAATCTGGGAAACCCACGTCAAATTCTCTTTGTCTACCATAACATGAGTGACGATAAATTCTAACAAATGTTGTGCTTCAAATTCCTTCCCAACCATTTCTAACTAAGACATTAGGTTTGGACATGAAAACCTAGGTTGTTGTTTTTTTCTCTGAGTGGTATCCATGCCTTCAAATATAGTCTTTAGAGTGCACTAAAAACTGGGTTTCCTTTTTTCTACATTTCCTTCCACTTATAAAAATGCCATGAGGACTACTCGCTAGAGCTATAGAGTCAATGACTTTTACCAAAATGTTAATGTTCATTCCGGTTTTTTAAAAATGTATTTGAAGAAAGCATTCATTATATTCTAAAATTTTTCTCTTTTATATATATATATATATGAATACTATGATGATCACAATTAGCATTATTAATTAGCTAACCATTATCACACGATATTGAAGTGTGTGTAGCTAGCTGAGAATACTTGCCTGCAGATGAACATTTTCAAGGTTAGCCTTTTAGTATTTTCCAAAGATTCAGCTTTCACTGGCATTTTCTGCACTTAATTTGGGTAAAAAGGTTTAAAGCACTAAAAGGGCACTGGAGTTGAAACTGTTTATCCAAACTTTGAGAAATGTTTTCAATATTGTTCACAATGATGTTTACAATATATAATAATCGAAATGAAGGATGCCTAGTTGTTAAAATGTCTTCTGCTGCTACACAGGGATGGAAACTGATCAGTCCAAAAATTGACTGAACTTTTCGCGGGCTCTACAGATTTGGAAAAATACATTATCACTTGTAGATTAGTACATATGTGTAGTAGAGTGACTCACCATTGAAAAGACATTTCGGAAAATGACAGAGCAAATCAAAATCTACGGTAATTTTCATTAATTTACGGAATATTTCTACGAACCCTGTGCTCCAGTTACAGAGTTTAACCATCATGTGTAAGTCCTCAAAATATGTGCATTTTCCAATGGGCAAGTCCTTCAAATTTGGAGGATAAAGATCAGGCAGAGACCAAGACACCTTCACCAATTCACCATCATTTCCACTCACATGAAACTAGGTTTTTATTTTACAATCAAAACCTAAAATTAAAGCTTAAAGTTTTAAAGTACTGGCTTTGTTTGGGGGGGGGGGGTCTGTTTCATGTGGCCTAGCACTTTTTTGTGCTTTATGATGATATTCCATTCATCAATTATCATCTATACACACAAAGAAGAAATAAAGAGAACATCATTAACAACTACATCTAGTCTTAACTGACAGAAAATGTCCCCATTTATCAGGTAAAGTAAACTACAACTCACTCAATACCTCAAAAACAAAATTTTTAAGTAAGCCTTTTAGCCTAAAAAAATCATCTACTTCCAGAAACGTGATGTTCATCATAAATTTCATGTGTCCAACATCAACATCTTGAGACTATTCAAAGGCAAAGGCACCATAACTCATAACTGAAATTTTTTTCTCAAGACATGGGAAGATTTTCAGATCTTGAATCTAAAACACTGATGGAAAAAGCCTTGCAAATCGAGTAGGAGTAGGCTTCTCATTCTAGACTCTAGGATCTTATCTGACCTGTCTTCTGCTGGACTTCTTGTCAAGTCAAGTGACAGGAGGTCTGCAGCTATGTCTAGACAAGACTTGTTTAGGAAAACAAGTAGGCATCATGTAAATAATAACACCATATCATCATTTTCTTTGAATTTTCCTTGAAAATCTAGAAATCTAGATCTACTTCCTATTTATCTTAACGACACTGATGAGGATGGGCCTGATGTCAGGAAATGCGGTTGGGCTTGGGTATGAAAGGATCCCGGGTTGATGGGTGGTATTCTATTACAGTCAGTAGGCAACTCCTACTGATCATGAAATAGATCTAATACAAAGAGGAAGTACACTTTAATAACATAGACTGAGAGAACAGATAAAAAGTTACAAATTTTTAAAACAATAATTCGCGTTGCGGCATGTAAATAGGGACACCCTCGTAATTGTAAGTAGGCCTAATCACTCTGGCCTGCCGACAATTCATTGTATTTGTGGCCTTGGGACATGGGAATGGAATGGGAATAGGATGTGTCGGTCGACGACAGATTAAAAACATACGACTACAATTTAACACTTAAATCTCAAACAGAATGTTAAGAAAATGAACATACTGCTACAACACTTTGACTCCTGGGTGACGAACAGACAGTAAACAATTCATTATTATAGGTTTCACCTCTTCCTTGTCAATGTTTACAAGTACAATACAGTTACTGAAAATTCCATTCAAATCCAATATGGCGTCTGAGGCATGCGCAAAGGGCTACTTCGATGGATCGTATGAGTGTAAAAAGTGGATCCTGTTACATTATGGCTGAAAGCAATCTCACAAAACCTCCATCTGACATAGTTAATAGCATTATAGTCGTCCAACAGTCAACTTGTCCATACTTACTTGCTTATTAGAGACAGAATGTTTCATGTGTTAACCAATACATCCGACCATTTAATTACATCACCGGAAGTGAATCGCCAGCTCTTCTTTGATTGGTTTGTGATTGGTCAAAAAATAGGTTGGAGTACTTTCGTTTCTTTCTCTCTCAATCCAAACTTTGGGGTCACGCATGACTGACTGTCAGGCCGGGCATGGCAGTTACATTCTTGTGTCATTGTTCAAGATAGAGAGAACAGGGAGGCCCAAAGAAGAAAACTGAGATAGGGTGGGGCCTGGAGTCACGCACCAGTTTGAATGTGCGATGGTGACAGATACCATTAGTTCTGTCACGTGGGTGTGTCAGAAGTGACAGAAAGTGGATCTTGTGAAAGATTCCAACTCTCAATTATGAAGAGGTGGAACCCCCCCCCCCAAAAAAAAACCCCACAAAAACAAAACAAAACCCAGACTGACAGATCTCTACCTCTAATCTAACAAAGTTTGGTTGAAGGTTTCCTACGCGGTACCTTTCAAAATCAGTACATGTACAAGCTCAATTTAGAGTTGGGAATCTTTTTCCATCTGCAGGACCAAACAACATTATCCCCAGTTTCGAAGCATGAATAGAACCTCCATACAATACATGATGCATATTATGTGCCTCAATGAGGTTATACAGTAACATTCTTGATGTGCTCCAAACGGGTTCGCCTGCTACGCTCCACCACACACCGTTATTATGGGAGTTCGTAACGCCGCTTTCAGTTCAGAAAATGTATTCATTAGGAGGGTCTTTGATTTATCGTCCCACTCCGACAAAAAAACGTTGTCAATTTGGAACGGGAGAACCTTGAAAGTTCCTCAAACTAACGAAGTTCATAATACCCGACTGGAAGGTTCGAACCAAGGTCGTACACACTATAGTTTAGCATGACCCTTCCTCGAGTTAGCTGCTTATTCATCGGAATACGTGAACATTACACTGGGAATAATAACTGTGTCAAGGGAATCATACATGTGCTCGGATTCAAGTAAAAATATTACATATGCGTATTATTTCACCTTCGTTTTACTGGTGAGGGCCGTATTGCCAATTGCCGCGAGCTGCACCCATTCAGCTTGACGATAGGGTGGTGGTGGTGGTGCAGTGTGTTATGGGGGTTGTGGTGGTGCAGTGTGATATGATAATGGTAGTGGGGGTGGTGAAGTGTGATATGGTGGTGGTGGTGGTGCAGTGTGATATGGTGGTGGTGGTGGTGGTGCAGTGTGATATGGTGGTGGTGGTGGTGGTGCAGTGTGATATGGTGGTGGTGGTGATGGTGCAGTGTGATATGGTGGTGGTGGTGATGGTGCAGTGTGATATGGTGGTGGTGGTGATGGTGCAGTGTGATATG